AGAGTATAAAATGGAGCCATACCTTTTTGTAAGATTAGGCAGAAAGTTTCATTAGAGTTCTGTTTATTCAGTAAATAAGAAAAACATGAGGCAGCTTCCCTTCCCCAAGTTCAAGGCTGGGTCAAGATGGCTGTAGGGCCCGGGGCTGTCAGAGTAGGGCAGCTAATGTGTGCCAAGATAAGGGGTCTGTGCAGCTGAGCACAGTACACATATGTTCACACACACACACACACACACACACACACGAGCGCGCGCGCACGCACTGTAGACTTCTAAACTTGCTCAAGTAGATGCTCTCCTAAACTGTATGCAGTTGTGATGTCAGTCACAGATAAGATGTGAGAAGAAGGGTGCAAATGTTTACAGGATATTGCATTTCCTCTCAAATGTATGTTTTCACAAAGTTGTTTGGGCTCCAGCACCAGCTCCTTTTCTCTCTGTTCTTACAAATGTGTAGTTGGTCCATTCAAGAAACGATGTGGAAGTCAGTCCTGACATCCCAGACAGACAAAATGAGACACATGACAGCAAAACATATGGCTCAAATAGGCATCCTTATATGGACAACACAGAACCTCTTCCCAGAAATTCATACATGGAAAACACCACCTGCAGCTAAAGCCAACGACAAAGAGTTGACAGGACAAAAAGAGCAATATGCTACATAAATTGTGCTGCTCTGAGAGTGTGGAGAGATAGCCAACTGTATTTGAATTTAAAAAGATGATAAAAAAAATAAAACATGCCCTTAGAAAGTGCTATGATGGTGAGCATTGCTTTGCTAACAGTGACTGGCTGAGTTGCCATATCTTAAAAGCGTTCAGAATCTAAATGCTTTCTCTGTTTATTACAAATGTATGTGCTATTCAGATCTCTGAATGTGTTTTAATGCTTCGGATATCTGCCTGCATATTTATCTTAATACGGGGCCATCGGAAACATACAGTTGTCCTTTCAGTATTAAATTGTTTTGTTTTTCCCCCAAAATCTGGTATAGCTGTCAAAAGATTTCATCTTTGTTGTTACCTTTGTGGAAGGAACCATTTTCAATGCCTTTTCATGTGGTAAAATATTAATGTCCTCTGTTTTAACTGTACAAGCACATGTTATATATACAGTTCATGTATTTGACTTGCAATATTTCATATTCTTGAAGCTTTCTATTTTGACAGCTAGGTTTATAAAGTTTAACTTTTTTCAATATGTGCTCCCATCTTTATTGCCCAAATTGCAATAAATTGTGTGGAGTAACTTGATGCTTTTTTCCTCCTCCATTATGGTAGTTTGTCCTCGCATATGCCTCAGGAAGATGGTTTTCCTAATTACCTTTTTTTTCCTTCTTTTTTCACATCTGAATTTACCCAGGTCATTGCTCAATGGCTATTCTGACTATTCTAAAGGGTAGATAATGTATAGTAATTAAGTTCATCAATGCACTATATTACTTGGAAGATACAAAATTCTGTGTGCAATTTTACTTATGTCATTTGTTATAATCACATAGTTCTGAAATAAAGAATGTGCTTGAGGGAAAATGAGTATGGATATGTGATGAATAGATCTATAATTGTACTATATCATTATTCTTTATAATAAAAGTCAGTTTTAGATAGCTTTATCCTCATTGATCCTGTTTACCATTTTCTGAGGCCATGTCCGACCTTATTAGACACTTCTAAATTTTATGTTTCTGAATTCCTGGAGAAAAGGTGTTATTCAGATTTAAAGATTACTATACTTAATCCCTGTGTTACATAACATTGAACAGCTCCTTAGGGGAATAAGACAATCAGGAAGCTTTTTGTCTTACTTCTATGTATAAATGATGGAATAAAACTTACAATAAAACTTACAATATTTATTCCAGTGTTTCCTAATACTGAAACTTTTTTAAAAAACACTTTTTTAGTCTTCATTTCACTTTCCCAGTTTTTCCTTTTTTTGCCCAATGACCTACTAATTTTATTATTTTTTTAAAGCACTGCATGTCAAGTGAAGTTGCAGGCATAAATATTTTGTAGTCCACTAGTAATCTTTTAAAAAAATTTTGCTCACTGAATTTGTGCAGTGTCACTACTAGAATGCATTGTCCTCGCTGAAAACCAGACAGAGGAAACATGAGGCATCACCAACTTATAAAATCCTCATCTTGGGAATTGATAATTTAACCTGTCCTATTGCAAAGATTATTGTCATTATAGAGGTAATTGATGGTTTTCTCTGTTCTTCAAAGTAGCAATATTTAAAAAATGTCTTTTTGGAATCCATTTCAGTACTTCCATGCAGAAATCCAACTTTAACTTTTGCTGTGTTTGTACATTTCTTTATTGATTATGCTTCTTACACTTTAAGTATCTTCCTTATTTCGCCTCACTTCAACTTTTTAAAATGTGGTATAATTTGGAGTTTTTAGTAAAGATTGTCTTATATTTACTTTTTGGTATTTGATGCTGTGTTTTTTTGTTTGTTTGTTTTATTACCATGTTGCTTCTTTCGCTCAAGGCTCAGTTTTTACATGTGCCAAGATTCACGATTGCCTTCCTCGATTTTGACTAACCTTTCGGGTTTCTGGGTGAAACTTGGGTGCCATTAGAGTGATATATTTTCATTGTGTTTCTCCTAAACTTGTTCCCCCAGGAGGCCATTATTTTCTGTACTTTATCTTCTGCTTTTCTTAGATTTCTAATGTAAACAGTGTCTCTCAGAGGGTATTGGTAGCTTTAAAGAGCTTAATTTGCATATTTCCCTCTTATCTCTGTACTTGTGCTAACTTGTTGCTTTTTTTATGTGTAACAAAATGTTTATCTGACTGATTTTTCTCTTTTCCCTGCTAGTATGTTCTGAAAAATAATTCTGATAACATTTTTGTTTTTGTTTAATGAGGAACTGCCTTTAGGGTGGTAAGATGTAAGTACTAAAAACCTAAGCTATAAACACTGCTTCTGTTTGGGGGCGAATAGTGTTCTGCATTTTTATATAAACTATTTTTAATAGATTATCCAGCAAGAGAATCATATTGATGTGCTAATGACCATTTCCCTAACCGGGTAATTTACCCTAGATTGCAACAGAAGTTACTTACTGACACAACCCCAACTTTCTCGTCTTTAGCCGGGGGTGTATTCATTTCAGAATGGTGGCATCTCTCACTTTGTAATCACAGGTCTCTTTCAATGAGTGACCCAAATTTGGTTTAACTCGGCCACTGTGGGACACGCATTTTTCCCTCCAGCGTGTCCTACGGCTCAGAAGTGAGCGAGTTTGGAACCTGCCTCCGACTAGTCCAGAAAGCTGACTCAGATCTTTTGGAACGCGAGCTCCCAATAGTTTGGGAGCCATCCTCGGAGGACACACGTTTGCGGGAGCCTCTCCGGGAGCCTGGCCTTTATTCCTCCGCAAACGTTTCCGCACGCCCCGCGCTGCCCGGGAGACCACCTTCCGACGGTCCCCTTCAGCCACTTCCTGAAGTCCCCCACCTCGGCGCCCGCGTCCCGCTCCCGCGGGGCCGGCTGCGCCCTCCCCGCCGCGCGGGTCCCTGGGGTGCCCGCCCGCGACGCTCCCGACGTCTTCCTTTCTGTGGCTTTTGTGGCGTGCGGGGGGTGGCTCAGTTTTCCCCCTGGGCTCGCGCCCCCTCCTCCCC